ACAAATGCCCTGTTTCCTCTGTTTCCAAGGTTACAGTCTCTCAGCAGGAAGTATGTTTTAATTTGTTTCTTTCCTGTATCAACTATTGCTTCATCTCACCATGAATGCTTGTTGGGTAATAAAGTCAAATAATGTCATAATTCCCTTTAACTTTTAGATTTTATTTTATTCCCTTCATTTGTGTTATTCAAAGCTGGTAAGTCGTAGGCATTGTGGTACTTTATTGTCCTTGAGACCCAATGGATTTCTTGAGATACACTTATGAAACTTTATTTTGAATGCTTAAAAAAACAAAACACGAATAGAGCCATAATCACTTTCAAATGAGGTCAAAGTAATTTCTCGCACACAGAGCATGATGGCAATATTTACCAGGTTAATTTTCTGCCGTTTGTGTCAATATCCAATTGCGAACATTATATCTTCACAACTAAAGCCAAAATACATTTAGGAGAACATTTAGTCCCCCTGCAAACAGCAGTGCATTACTCGACTCATAACACAGGACAGCTACACTTCTCCAGACAGCATTCTTTCAGCAAACAAGACTGAAAGCAAAGAGAAATGAAATCATGCACTGTCTGGCACCAAATAACTAATAAAAGGAAACTGTTTTTCTGTCTCAATGAACCCTTGTCTACTTCATCAATGCCAGCACACAAACAAAAAAACTATTCTGAGCCTGCTTTAAATGATAATCCATGGCTGGCAGATCACCCGTTTTATGAAAGGCTGATTATCTACTGAGTTCTTGTGAAATGGACAGAACAAACTCTCAATTTCTTAAGTGACAGCTGCATCCACCATTCTGAGATTACAGACACCAAAACAGAGACAGCAAAGTCAGGAGGACTGATACAAAACTATATATTAAATGATTGTATAGTGCATAATGTGGTACAGTATGGCAGGAAAGTGTTTGAAGGGTTACGATAACAGGTGATGTCTACACTTGTTGCCACATTTGCTAATATATTGTACATCTTTGATAGAGACAAAAGAAGAATTAACATAAGATAATGAAGACTTGTTGGCTCTTATATTACCATGAGAAATATACATTTTGTTCCTTTTAATAAAACATAATGAGGTCCATAAAGAATAGTTAAATGTGCTTATTCACTTTCTCGCAGAGATTTGATGAGAGGATTGATCCCAACCTTATATGTGTACTTTAAGTATTAGGCTAACTTAGCTTAGCAAAAAGACTACAAACAGGAAAGAGGGGCAACAAAAAGGTATTGTGTGAATAGTTATAACGTGTTTTTTAGTGACCTTTATATGCAGAAAGGACAGAGCGAGGCTAGCTTTCCTCGTGTTTCAAAACTAACACACCAGATATGTTTAAACATTCTCATCTATCCATCGGCATGAAAGTGAATATGAGTTTTATTCAAACTTCTCCTTTAAGACCAAGTGTATATAAATAGAATGAAATCACGCAATTTTAACTGAGTCAGCAACTTCAGCTGCCAGTTGATTCGACCAAAGCACACAAACAAAACCAACCCAGTATATAACACAACATGTATTGGATCGTAAAATAAACAAGCTGTTGCAGAACATATTATTCTGTCTAAATAGCTTGAGGATTTCAGCGCAAATGTTCTCTCACTCAGCAGCAGGTTTGCCAAACAAGCTATCGGTGAGTCAGTGCCACCACTTCTCTCCTACACTGTTTTTTACACGGACAGCTTCATGCTGCCCAGCAGGATGCTAATAGCTACCTAACATCACACCATGATGGTACATCTGATGTCTTTTGATGCCATTTAGACACATTTTCAGCCTCTCATAACCAACATATTCAGTGCCAGTAATAAGCCTATCATAAGGTATTTCTTCAATGTTGGAAAGTTCAAATAGACACCATGATCAGTAATCATTGGTGCTTTGCCAAATAAAATAAAAGAACTGTAATTAGTTTTAAGCGTTAACCTCAATCAGCAGATCTGTCTGTAGCCTGGAGCATCAACAAACAGACCAACCTGGTGTCTCACGTAAATCTAATCAGCATTTAACCAAACTGACAACACTTTTTTCAGGTCTTTAGAAGGATCATTATATAACACGACACACACAGTATGTTCATTTTGATGTAAGTGATGACAGGTATGGTTTTAGACCACACTAGGTACACACTCCATGCAGAGCACTTACATATTGATGGAAATCAAGTCAAATTTCTTTCAGGTTTTTATTTAGGTTGGCTTAGAAGGTCAAATTTGTTTTCATTTAGTCTGGCAGAAAAAGGAACTGGCATAGACCAGCAAAAGAAAAAACCTAAACCCAGAGGTGTAAAGCCCACCCTTCCTTCTCAGTATCACCTCAAGTTTGTGTACATGTGTCAGTGCGTGTGCGTGTGTGTTTTCTGGAGGACACTAAAAGAAAATATATCGAAGCAGTTGCCTGCAATCATTTCCAAGATCTGAGCTGTACAAGCTTGGAGGAAAACCAAGGAAAGGCAAATTAATGCTGGTGTAATTTTCCTACATCAAGCCAACACGTGTTATCATTGATCAAACATTTATCTGCAAAATGCTACAGGAAAAATACAACTTCTAAGGATCCGGTAAGACAGAAAACTGTGCTGCACTCGTGCAATGAATAAGAAATCTTTGCAGAGGGGGATTCAGGGAACACAGCCAACAGAACAGGCCACCTGCTGTACCTCACGTCAAAGTACAGTACGGCACAAATATGTAAACAAAAGACCAATTTAATACAACTGAGCTGTGTGGAAGACAATGGAGTCAGAGTTATAGCCCGTGCATGTCATCACTGCCTCTCCCCACCGCTATCATCCTCTCTGTTTCTGAAGCGCCAACCAGTTAACTTATGGTCGCTGTTTGATATAATAAAACGTGATGGTTCATTTCATCGTCGCTCTACTGATGTGGGAGTTTGAGTTTATACTAAAGGCATATTTCAGCCTCAGAATCTGGAGTGTAAATGTTAAACAGCTGCTGATGGTTGAGCCCAGAGGGCATCACTTCACAAGCTGCCTATTAAACTGGCAAACAGGAGGAGGCAGAGCTGCAGTCCAGCAACCACATGGTGGTAAGTTACAAAACAGAGTTTAAGCTCCTCAGTCAGGCTCTCTCTGTTCAGCGTACGAGCCCTCTCTTTTCACATGCTAATGCAGGTTCTGCCAGCTGAACAGCTTGAATAAAGTGAACACCATCTCCCAAGGTCCTTCAGAGACCTCGGCTTTGGCAGCCAGCCTCAAGGGTCGTCCAGAATTCATTAATAGCTGTGTGTTAAGATTTAAGCAGTGGTTTGTTACACTGTAATAGAGGAAATATAACATTGTGCTTCCACACCTGCAGCCAATACATTTAAGGACACCTTTATTAATGTGAGTATATGTATTAAAATAGCATATTGACTGGCAGCGTTTCTTTGTTATTAAACTGCTGCTGAAACCAAGTGTTTTTTTTTTTTATTGGATTTATTAGCCCTCATGCATAATAAAGCAACCCTGCAAACTTGTTATGACCCAATCAATGACACACTGATGATTTGGCCCCTTGTGCCATGTACACATTAACCATAAAGCAATAACTCACTGGAAGACAGGTGCAATTTCCAATCCGAATGTCATTACGGTTTGCTCACTGCCTGCTTCAATTCATAATATTTCCATTGTTGTGAGGTGGGGGATTGTGGGAGCAGAGCCCTCTGTGTCTGTAGGCAATGCAACACACCAGCTGTGAATGAGAAACAAGCAGCGTTCTCCATAAATTAACATTAACTTGGTCCTCACACACTTCAAGGGCCTCGACTAATGCAAAGAGGCAGCACACAGGGCCTAGCTCAATGAAACAAGAGTAATTCTCCCATGACACAGTTGTATCAAAGATGAATAATTGATGCCTGAATTACCAAAAGATGGCCTGGAGTAAAGTGGAAAGCAGCAAAATAAGATAGCCATTGATGCGGTAGAAATGAGGCAATTTTCTGAATGACCAGTGCTCGCCACAAGACAGAACTGAGGTTATAGAGCCACAGAAAGTCTAGGAGGTAGCAGCGTATATACAAAGAAGAATGTGCCTATAGAGGAATCCTATAAAGCCAAACGCTCTGAGCATCTAAAGGACCGGACTGGAACATGACTCGGGGGATGATCAGCTGAAGCCCCAGAGGCGTAACATTAGTGAAACCACAGAGAGTAAAGAGTGCTATAATGGGGCCTTCAAACTGAACCCTTGGAGAAATGACTGGTCATAACCCTCATAACCAGTCTACTCTGCTTGTATGTGCAGTATGCCATTTTACTTTCAAACTAGACAGAAGAATTCATTTAATGCATATTTGTATTCAGCTTAAAAGCATTCTGAAATCTTGTCACAGGTAAAGGAGTCTATGAAGATACAAGTCACAGAATGTTTGATCCATGTTGCCAGGTGGAGACAGTCAATCACTATGAATCAAAGGCAGAACGTGAGTGGAGTGTAATCAGCTGAATTAAACCACATTGAAATCACACAAGCCATTACAGGACACTGAATATTAATTGAATGCATTAAATCTAGCACCCTACATTTGACCAACATCTCATACCAAATGTAAAACAATTAGTTTCACTGCACTGATTTAAAACAGGGATCATTTTGCCCAGCAATAAAGCTGCATGACAATGAAGCTAACACTCATTGTGATAAATCAACATCAGCACAAAGAAATCCCTTTGGCTGATGTTGAATTAATGACAATCCTTTTCACACGAGATACAGAAAAATAAGGGCTAGGTTTTCCCCTAGCTCTGATCCTCTTGTCATTGGGTTGACTGTCACGGTTTACCTATCACATTGGGGAGAGTCAATCAATGCATGCTCTCTGGTTTAACGCTAATCCAGAGATGGAAAGCAGTATATTACAGGAATAAAAAGAACAAAACAAACACAGGGAAGTCAGGCTGACAAACAGGCTGTTGGATGGGCAGCCTATGCAGAGACAATGCACACAGAGCGGACACACACATCACATCCACACCGCACCTTTCACTTGGGTCTCATAGTCCGCTATGATCTCCTTATCCTTCTTGTATTTCGTAGAAGACATCCTGCCTCGGGTTTTAGGGTTACACCCTGTTTGTCGAGGACTGTCTTGGGTCTGAGGTGATGATCCCGGACTTGTAACGTTGCAGCGCTTTCCTCGTATTCTGTTCTAGTGGCCGTGCATTGAAGAAAACAAAAGCAATAATGTGTTGTATTTCCGCAGTCCGTTCAAACCACCCTATCAGTACAGAAATAACACACGAGCAAAGTCCAATGTTGCATTATTGTCTTTTTCTGCTCGGGTTTTCCCTCAGGCAGGGGAACCAAGTCCTCCTCCTCCTCCTCCTCCTGGTACCAGTCCACTCAGTAGCTTCAGCCGGAAAAACAAAAGACACAAGCGAGCTCACAACTGTAATAACATCATGATGAAGAGAGCCGGGCGAACCATGGAGGTTTTCAAGCAGTCAAGACCCTGATTGTAGTAGATATTGTTAACAGAACATTAAGTAACATGCGCACGAGCATCGAGGCAAGCAGACACCATTCGCTCTGACAAATTGCGCTGCAGGGGAACAGGAATTTAAAAGATCGTCACGTGAGCCTCCTCATATTGTCAACCACCCCTTCTTTCCCCCGCCCNTCTCTCTCTCTCTCTCTCTCTCTCTCTCTCTCACACACACACACACACACACACACACACACACACACACACACACACACACACACACACACACACACATAGACATTTAATATGTATAATATACATATTAAATGTATAATATAAATGTAATCGTCGTCACATCATCATCATCATCATCATCATCATCATCATCATCATCATCATCATCATCATCATCATCATCATATTACTACCTGTAGGCCTGTCATATTTATGTTTCCGGAGTTAAATAATCCTGACCATATAAGAACTTCCCCCTCTTCTGACTGCATTGCCATGGGAACCACACATTTTTACCTCTACATTTCCCCCCTTCTGTTCATGAGATGTGGAACATCGTAGCAGAGGTTGTGAAGGATAATCTCTGAAGCTCAGGTATGACACACCACTGATCCATTTTAGCCTATGAATGCACTGCTATGGTATCTGCGTTGTTTTTTTAAAGGTTTAAAGGTAAATTGTCCTTTGTACCACCATTCATTGTTGCAAACAGGTATGTTGACATGCCTTCATTGCACCCTTTGTTTACCTATTCTTCTCTGTTGGTAGAGCTGAGGCTTCCTATCATAGATGATTAGCAAGAATATCATGGGCAGAAACATTTCTTTAGCCTTGTACGCATTTAAAAGAGAATAAAAACGTCTCATTTTACACACTGTTGCAAATTATTGATGTGAAATATGAGCACAACCAAGATTAATCCATGACAATAATACTCTCAAAGTACTGTAAAGATATGCATTTGTATTTTATTTGTTAAATGGTTTGTGTCAAAAAATGAATCTGGCTTGTTCAGCTCTAGATGTGTTTCTTGCAGGGAAAAAGCAGATTTAAATGCATATCATGAAGCAGATTTTCAAAGTGTTGTACTGACGGGGGCTGAGCGTGTTTCCTGACAGATACTGTCATCTGGGTGCTTCATCGTGTTTTCAACAGTCCATGGGACTCGGTTTGTGCCTGTCACCTCAGTTTTTCTCAGCTCAAGAGGGAACAGGCTTTTGACTCACAGTGAGGTGACTCCAACCTGCAAACTGCCACACTGTAGAAGCCCTCTGCACTTCATTTCCATCTGCACCACAAAATATCATGCATATTTCAAGCTGACAGGTGGGATGGCATTTTTGACAGCTCTAACGTCTATATTCTGCCACATACAAAAAACATAAAAGGGATTCATAAAAAAATCAAACCAGGATTAATCACCACTTACACTTTATAAAAGCTTTAGGTTTTCAGTAATGGCTGCAAATGGCTTGTCATTATTTTTGTGATTGATGGATTACATAAATTAACACATATTACGGCACTATCACCAAAAAGAGAGGATAACCACTGGCTTATACAGTAGTTCCAGTCATGAGTCTATTATGAGTTGTACTGTTAAGTTAGACAAAACAATGAAGATATTACATTGCACAAATTAGGTGGAACAAGACAATCTGAGGGTCTCAATTAACATTTACAAAGATGAGAAAGATGTCTACAGTGATTATTTCAATCTAGGAATATCCATTCACACAAAGGTAGGTTATACCCTCATGTTTTACCAGTAATGTCATGAGAAATCAGCTTTGATATCTTTGCTGGGCTTGTGATGTACAAATATATTTTCCGGCCATTGAACACAGCATGCACAGCTGTCTTCTCAGGAGTAAAAGCCCCAAAGGAGTTTTTAGATGGTCACTATAGCGTGTGTTTGTATCTGTGTTGTGTTCAGCAAGTCTTGATATGAAAGAGAGACAGCGAAAGGGTTAGTGACTTCCTGTGTTATCACTCATGTATCACCCGCACATCTGAGGAGAGCAGACACTTGTGACACATCAGCTGTGACGGAGAGGCCTGCTGGAGGGCCAGAGTGAAGCTAGGGTGGATTCGGCTTTTGTTTGTGTTTACCACAGAGAAGTCAGTGGAGGTAACCTTTCTGCTGTCCCTTCATCCCTCCCACCGTCCCTCTGTTCCTCACCCTTACCTCTCTCATCAGGCATCTCAGGGGGGAAAGCCTGGGAACTGTGACTTCACTGTATTAATGGTACAAAGGTCCATTGTGAGATCCTTTTACTATTTATTTCTATAGAACAAGAGTGGGAACTGCTCTTGTTTCCAGACTCAATGTGTAAAACAAATCCACCCTGTGATACAGTCTGCATGGGCCTGAATGCTGTCATAGAATAGATAATCATTTATTAGGGGTGAGGCATGCAAATGAATGGAATATAGGAAAGCAACAGATTTGACATCACTTTATTAGATGTCAATGGCTACAGTTCACTTTTCACCTTCAAATTAAACATTGCATGTGGAAGTGTCTAGAGTTCATGCTGTGTTAAGAAAAAACACATTAGTGAGATTTAATTTGAAGGTGATCCACTAAGTGTTTATCAACGCTGTGGGAAATAAGACAGAAGATAAGCCTTTAGGGCGGCTCGTTTCTGATATTGTCCTTCTTCTTCAAACAGAGGAATCTTTGTACAGACATGTGCAACCCGTTCCAATAAATCTCATAATTGCACCCTTTTAAATTTAAAAGATCTTTGGCCTGTGGGAATCTTGAAATAGGCAGCATGTGAGACAGGTTCAGCACTGATACAGAAATATGTAATTGCAGCCGAATGGGACATACTTTCCATTATGCGATATAATTATGGAATAATAAAGTCAGCAAACTAAGAACATATACAACAAATGAGTGCTCTTTGGGATCCCCATTAAAGTTGTGTAGTTCGATCGGCTCTACTTTCTGATAGCTGTAGTGATACATGTATTAGAAGCATCATAAAATGGCTTGAATGGCACATGACTGTGGACTAAGATGAAGTGGATTTCAGGTTGTGTTCACTGTTATGTTTTCTTTCCTGTCAGTTAAAGGTTCTGAATACAGTATTTTGTAATAACTGATTGAAATTAAGAACTATGAAATGCAAAACACTGAAAAGCGCAGTCTTTATATTCTTTGGATGCCGTTTTACACTGTGGTTATTCAACAATTGAGCACTCACGCTGAGAAAGAGATGTCTAATTGATATGCACATTTCTTTCCAGAGAGGTATGCTCCTATCGCTGCATATGTACTTCGATCCTAATAAGTATTACCACACTGAGAGAAGGATCTGAAGAATAATCTCAGTGAGGGTCCTCTCAACATTCAGGGAACATCCCTGTGTGAAATCCCACAGGGTTTATCATACCTGACAGCTTTGAGGATATTCCCCCATTATTCCCAGAATATCTTTTCTCTACATTGCATGTTACTACAGCTGAGGTACATAGAAGCATCTCCCCACTTCTACCTGTATGGATAACACCTGAATTACACATAAATCAAACCGGACTGTGTCTGTTTGATATTCTGTCAAAGCAGCAAACCAAGGAATAGCTCTACTTTTTACTTTGAATTTATTTTCATTGTCAGCCACTGTCTTTGCTTATTTTCTGTGTTGCTAATGTGTTTATCATTGAGTCCTCAATAGTTTCGAAGAGGCTGCTCTGTGCAACCCTGGCCATCTGTTATGCAATACTTTTTGTTCCCTGACATGAACACACGCCCACGTGTCTGCCATACTTCGCACTTACTAATCGGTTGGAAAGAATGAAGAAGTTGACCTGAATAAATTTAGAAAAATTACATTTTCAATAAAAATAAGTAGTTTGTGTACAGTGTGGAGACATAACTCAAGAAAAGCTATGTTGTTCCTTGTCAGAAGAAGACCTGTAGATAAAACATTTAAGAAATATCCTTTAATCCTAATTAAGTGCTTTGAATTTAATTTAACCACAGCGGATTAGAAAACTGGTAAATATAAAAGCTTTTCTCATTATTTTATCCACAGGTGTTTGCTAATAGATAGAAAATACAAAATGAAAGCGGTTTCTTCCACTAACCAGAGGTTCAATTAATCACCCAAGGAAATGTAACACAGAGGAAAATACATGTTTTCTTATCAACACTCTTATATAAACCAATCACAAATGGATATTATGGGAGACAATTAAATAGCCAAGATGCCTGAACTGCAAACGTGAGAGACTGCACTTTGTTTCATCTAAAATAACATCAATCACAGTTTATTTCGCTATAACTACTATTATACACAATTCAATAGTCACAATCTAGTTGCAAATAGTCACTATGAATAGACTTACTGATGTGATATAAATTAAATCTCCTATAGTAACAAGTGACAGGAACATTATTTGCTATTATTTCCAGACTGGATGAATTAAAGGGTATAAAAATCATTAATTTGAATATCAGGAGTCTATTGCCCAAAATTGATTTACTTCGGATATGGGTTGTCCTACATAAACCTAAAATCATCACACTCAGTGAAACTTGGCTTAATAGTAACTTTTCCGATAGTGAACTACAAATTATTTGCTTTACAGATCTGATAGATGCAGCAGGGGTGGAGGAGTGGCTATTTATGTCTCCTCTGACCTTGTGACTGAGCTAATTGCTACTTCTATAGAGCCTCTACATTTTGAATGCATTTTTCTTAAAATAATTTTTCATGAAAATAAATGCTTAACTATTGGTAGCATCTATAGGCCACCTTCTTCACCTGCAGAGTCTTTTAACCACATAATTGACACTATCAACTCCATTTCCTGCGGAAATGAAATAATCTTGCTTGGTGATTTCAACAAAAATTGGTTGGATAAATCATCTGATAGAGAGAAAAAACTTTTCAGTAGACTAAATGTTAAACAGCTAATTAATGAGCCAACTCGTATCACTCTTAGAACCCAATCTCTGCTTGACTGCATACTGGTGTCACATCCTGACAGAATCTTAAAAGCTGGTGTCATGTCGGATTGCTTCAGCGATCATTGATCGCTGAAGCAATCCGACATGACACCAGCTTTTAAGATTCTGTCAGGA